GTTGTCGAGCTCTAACCAACTGAGCTACAGAGTCCAGTTGTCGAGCTCTAACCAACTGAGCTACAGAGTCCAGTTGTCGAGCTCTAACCAACTGAGCTACAGAGTCTATTTGTCGAGCTCTAACCAACTGAGCTACAGAGTCCAGTTGTCGAGCTCTAACCAACTGAGCTACAGAGTCTAGTTGTCGAGCTCTAACCAACTGAGCTACAGAGTCTAGTTGTCGAGCTCTAACCAACTGAGCTACAGAGTCTAGTTGTCGAGCTCTAACACACTGAGCTACAGAGTCTAGTTGTCGAGCTCTAACACACTGAGCTACAGAGTCCAGTTGTCGAGCTCTAACCAACTGAGCGACAGAGTCTAGTTGTCGAGCTCTAACCAACTGAGCTACAAAGTCCAGTTGTCGAGCTCTAACCAACTGAGCAACAGAGTCTATTTGTGGAGCTCTAACCAACTGAGCTACAGAGTCTAGTTGTCGAGCTCTAACCAACTGAGCTACAGAGTCTAGTTGTCGAGCTCTAACACACTGAGCTACAGAGTGTAGTTGTCGAGCTCTAACCAACTGAGCTACAAAGTCCAGTTGTCGAGCTCTAACCAACTGAACAACAGAGTCTATTTGTGGAGCTCTAACCCACTGAGCTACAGAGTCTAGTTGTCGAGCTCTAACACACTGAGCTACAGAGTCTAGTTGTCGAGCTCTAACACACTGAGCTACAGAGTCTAGTTGTCGAGCTCTAACCAACTGAGCTACAAAGTCCAGTTGTCGAGCTCTAACCAACTGAGCAACAGAGTCTATTTGTGGAGCTCTAACCCACTGAGCTACAGAGTCTAGTTGTCGAGCTCTAACACACTGAGCTACAGAGTCTAGTTGTCGAGCTCTAACCAACTAAACTACAGAGTGTAGTTGTCGAGCTCTAACCAACTGAGCTACAGAGTCCAGTTGTCGAGCTCTAACCAACTGAACTACAGAGTGTAGTTGTCGAGCTCTAACCAACTGAGCTACAGAGTCCAGTTGTCGAGCTCTAACCAACTGAGCTACAGAGTGTAGTTGTCGAGCTCTAACCAACTGAGCTACAGAGTGTAGTTGTCGAGCTCTAACCAACTGAGCTACAGAGTCTAGTTGTCGAGCTCTAACACACTGAGCTACAGAGTCTAGTTGTCGAGCTCTAACCCACTGAGCTACAGAGTGTAGTTGTCGAGCTCTAACCAACTGAGCTACAGAGTCTAGTTGTCGAGCTCTAACACACTGAGCTACAGAGTCTAGTTGTCGAGCTCTAACCAACTGAGCTACAGAGTCCAGTTGTCGAGCTCTAACCAACTGAGCTACAGAGTCTAGTTGTCGAGCTCTAACCAACTGAGCTACAGAG